CACACACACACACACACACACACACACACACACACACACACTCCAAAACAAAAACCAACCAAACTACCAAGTCTAGTGTTTTCATTTTTATCCCTCACTGACAAGACCTTTCAAAGACCTGACTTTCAGCTTGACTTGCAAACCTCCCCAACATCTGACCACTATTGACTTTCTTCTTCTGCCTTCATTTTCTTCATGGTTCCTGATACTCTGGAATGCTTGAGGCTTAAGATGGGGCCGTCCCTCTTCTCCCTGGATCATTTCATCCATCCTTTCATACCGAGTACTCTCAGATCTAGAGCCGTGACTTCTGTCTTGAGCTCTGAATTTACAGTTCCTAGGGCTGCCCTGGACAATCAGTCCAAAAGGCCCCTGTGACCTGAGTCCTTCCCACAAGACTCCACTTCTTAGAAGTTCCACTGTGGACCTCTTCATGTCATCATACTTGGGGCTAAGCTTCCAGTAATAGAAACCCTGGGCCAGGGGGTGGGGAGACAACCACATCCACACTTAAACGTTGCAGGTTCTGCTTGCTCTTTGTAAGGTGCATCTCAGTATGGACAAGAAGATCAGCACTAGGGTTTTCATTCCTCCTTGCCCTTCCCCTCTCAGATCTTTTTGCTTAGATTGTCTCCACTTACTTGCCCAACTGATTAGTTACTGTGTATTCTGGAGAGCCACTTTGGCTGCTGTTCCTGAATGTTGACTCTTGGGAAAGATAGACTGAAAAACTAAAGATAGGAAAGATTAGAAGACAAAAAGATCTTTAAAAGAAAGCTGTGAAACCCCAGAAAAGGAGAATGCACTAAAATGTTTCTCTGTTCATGTTTTCCATGGTATTTGAGAGGAGTTTGCATATAGAAGTGTCATAGATTGAATTAGTAAAACATGAAACTTTGGCTTGCTAAATTTAAAGCTAGTGGAAACAGGAAACAGGAGATCGGGAGCCAAAGAGAGCTCAGTCTGTGAATTCAAACACAAACCTCGTCATTTATCTTAGAATTCAGAGAAAAGATGGAAGATGAAAATGGACAAGACAAGCTGCCATGGCTAGAGGATAGAAAACTCTGGAGATCTAATGCCTGTGTCACAGCAATTTCACAAGTGGTGGGGGAAAGAAATACGTGGCAGTAGAAAGGGTTTCTCAACTTAAAAAAACGCATGCTTTACTCAAAATCTTTACTTTCCTAATAAGATATAAATGACCCCAAAAGTAACTTTTTAAAAAGATGCTTCTGAAATGATCAAAGAGCTTCTTTCTTGAAGTCTCTATGTCCCGTAGCTACACAAGTGACTTCTATCAAAATTGAAAGGATTGGGTGGTTAGGGATGTGGCTCAACTGGTAGAATGTTGACTAGCAAGCGTGAGGCCTTAGTTCAAACTCTAATATGTCAAAACATTTCGTGTGTGTGTATATGTGTGTATATATGTACATGCATGCATACACATGTGCATATGCACTAGTACCAGGGCTTGAACTCAGGCTTCATGCTTTCTTGTTCATGGCCAGCACTCTACCACTTGAGCCATACCTCCAGTCCTTCATTTTGCTGTTAATTGGCGATAGAATCTCACATGCTTTTCTGCCCAGGACAGCCTTGAACATTTGTCCTCCAGGTCTCAGCCTCCTGAGTAGCTGGAATTACAAGTATGAGTAGCTGCCAATTAAAAAAGTTTAAAGACTGAATAACAAGTTGATTTTATTTTACCACCATGGTGAATAGAGTATGCTACCTTTCATATAAGAAGGAAGATAAGGGCTGGGAAGGTGGCTCAGTGGTAGAGCGCTTGCCTTGCATGCATGAGGCCCTGGGTTCGATTCCTCAGCACCACATAAGCAAAAAGAAAAAAAAGCCGGAAGTGGAGCTGTGGCTCAAGTGGTAGAGCACTAGCCTTGAGCTGAAGAGTTGAGGGACAGTGCCCAGGCCCAGAGTTCAGGCCCCATGACCGGACCCCCCCCCCAAAAAAGAAGGAAGATAACAATATAACCAAATATGCATGTTAGCAGAGTGTGGTGGCATATGCCTGTAATGTCAGCACTCAGGAGGCTAAGGAAGAGGATTACACATTTGAGACCAGTTGGGGAAATGTAGGAAGCCCCTGTTTCCAAAAAAAAAAAAGGATGTAACTGCTTATTTGTGCAAAAAGAAATACAAAAAGAAGGGAGGTGGAGGTGTAGCTCAGTTAGTTGGTAGAACACTAACCAGTAAGCAAAAGTGTCAGGTACTAAGTTAGAGCCCCAGTCTTGGACCGAAAAAGAAAATCCAAAAAGGAACACCAAAAAAATTAATGAGCTGAGTTACCTACTGTGAGTCAGTCAGTGAAGATGGCATGGAAAGAGAGAATGAACAGGAATGAACATAGGAGATGTGGGACAAATGAGAGTTCTTTGTATATGCTTGTTTGTATTGTCCTATTTTTTTATTTTTTGGTTGTGGGGCTTGAACTCAGGGTCTGGACACTGTCCCTGAGCTTTTCTGCTTAAGGGTAGCTCTCTACCACTTGGAGCCACACCTCCTCTTCTGTTTCCTGGTGGTTAACTGGAGATAAGAGTCTCACAGACTTTCCTGCCTGGACTGGCTTTGCACTGAGAGCCTCAGATTTCAGCCTCCTGAGTAGCTAGGATTACAGGCGTGAGCTGCCAG